TCTCCATTTTGTTGAAGAAACACCAGTCAACAACCTGGCATTTAATACTTTCACACAAGTCAAGTACAAGGCCTTCTTCCCAGTTGACTCGAAATAATCCAAAACTGGGGTTTTAAATGTCAACAAACAATGATCATCATCTTCCCAATTCTCCACAGCAGCTTTAACAATGAGTGAAGGAAAATCATAATCAAGCCCTTCTTTCCACTCATGAATCATCTCTGTATTGTCCACAAAATCTCTGTGCTCCTTTCTTAACTTCCCGTGTACTTCTGCAACAAGCTGCTGTATCATTCTTGCAGATTTCACTTCGGTTCTTTGGCTTATAACTTCCACGCTGCTACTCAGTACATGGCCCAACTTCGTATATCCAGCAGCCACCAGCTGTGAGCGTAAGCGTATGCCGTGAGCGTATGATAAAAATCTTGACGTAAAGAGAGGGTTAAAAAACAAAGGTTCTTCCAACAGCCAAGGCCCAGCTGATGAATCAGGTGATGTTGACACAGTGAAAACTTTCCAAGCCTCAAACATAGATTTATAATAGGGGGTAAGGTCTACTAAATCAGACTCTTGTAAATGCATAAGAAATAAATGTTTATCAAGTCCCATTCCCCCTACCCTCCGCAAAAGGGCTGTTGCTGTGTTCATCCAAGCAAAATTGCTGTTGTATAGCAGTCTTTGAGCTGTTTGTAGACGAAAAGTCGTTATTCTTGCCTTTATATCCACCAGGCCTTGTCCCCCTTCTTGTGTAGGAAGATACAGTACTGCAGATCGGACCCAATGGTATCCTGACCAAAAAAAAGTCACTAAGTGCCTTTGAACTGCTTGAATTAAGCCTGCTGGTGGTTGCAGCACATTGAATTTATGCCACAGAGTGGATGCCACCAAATTGTTGGCCACCAAAACTCTTCCCCTGTAGGACAACTGGGGTAGCAACCATTTCCATCTAGACAATCGGGTGCATACTTTATCCTCTACGCCCTCCCAATTTAATTTCTGAAACTCAATAGAACCAAAATAAATACCTAGTATCTTAAAACCTTCAAATCTCCATTTAAGGTTTCCAGGCAATTGTGGAGGATTCTCTGAGAAATCATGACCTACCCAGAGAGCTTCACTTTTATCCCAATTCACCTTGGCAGATGAAGCCTTTTCATACACATCAAGTACATCAGACAAAACCTTAACATCTTGTGTATTATTAACAAATACCGTAATATCATCTGCATAAGCACTTAAAACTGTTCTTGAGTTCTTAATAATACCAGAAATAATAAAACCAGAGATTTTTTCACGTAATTTACAAAGTAAAGGTTCTATTGCTATACTATATAGTTGCCCTGATAAAGGACACCCCTGTCTTGTACCCCTTGTTACAGGAATAGGACGGCTTAAACCACCTCCCACCTTGACAATACAAGAAGCACCTACATACAACAATTTCACCCATTTTAAAAAACCTTGCCCTAAACCAAAAACTCCCAACACATTGAAAAGATATCTGTGATCTACGCAATCAAATGCTTTTTCTTGATCTAGGGAGATCAGGCCAATTTTTCTTTTAAAAACTTTGCAAATATCTAAAACATCCCGTATCAAAAATAAGTTATCTGATATTGTCCTTTCTGGAACACAATATGTTTGATCCCGGTGTACTATTAAATGGAGGTACTTTTTTAGCCTATTAGCAAGGCATTTAGATAGAATTTTGTAATCAGTAGTCAATAGAGCAACTGGTCTCCAGTTTTTCAAAAGAGACAAATCCCCCTTTTTAGGCAACAAAGACAGAACAGCTCGTTTACAAGACACAGGCAACATACCATCTTTGTTACATTAAAAAAAGATCTCACAAAGATCCTTTCCGATACAGTGCCAAAAATGTTTATAAAACTCAGGTTGCAAACCATCAATGCCTGGAGATTTTCCTGATTTAAGTTGACCCAAGGCAGCAGTTAGTTCTTGGTAGGATATATCAATATCCAAAGCAGTCTTTGAGTCCAAGTCTATTTGAGAATTATTATAGAGAAGAAGAAAGTCAACAGTTATGTTGTTCTTAGACCATTTGGGATGATCACATCCTGAGCAAATGGTGACCAATTGTAGAATGGGAGCGGGTGTGGGACACCGAGAACCACCTAAGAAAAAGGGGTGTCAGAACTTAATTAACATACAGACCACAGCTGTTACGACAGGAGCAACTTCATTTACATTAAGGGTAATAAACTGTAACTGTATAAAAGGTTTGAGTTTAGGATGTTCGGGGTTCATTCCGACTCCATTGAACCCAAGGTACTACATGTACTTTGTCACTACTATGGTGCAATAAACATCTTCATCGAGATCTTCAACATCCTCATCATTTTTTCTTACAATGTAGAAAGGTTCCATTTTCTTGTCATGATTTTAACTTTAATTACAGATTACAAACATTTCTTACAACATTTTACTAACTTTATTTTTATCCAAAATATAACATTATTTGATTGTTTATTTCTAATATTCTAAGAACGTTAAAATGTCCAGATGAATGAAAAAGTCTAAGAATGTTAAAATATGTTTTCTTCTTTTGGTTAGAACATTATTTAAAGGTTACAAAATTGTTTGTTAAAATGTTCATCAAGTGTAAATAACATCATAAGGACATTCCGAGAATGTTGATCTCAGAAAGTTTTCTCTCAACGCTATGAGAATGTATATCAAATATTGATAAAGTTATAAGAATGTTGCATAAACATTATTTAATGTTTTGTCCTAACATTTATATAATTTTTTTTTTTAAAGGTCAATGAAACTTCTGAGAACGTTCCCTGTTAGCTGGGATGTACCCTTCTGTCAAATGCATGAATGAAAGTCTAATAGCCCCTTCTGCTATGTTAAACTGTGACGGTCGAGTGCAATAAGTGTACAACATTTCACAATTAATTTTTTCAATTAATTAAGTGCTTCATCTAGGTATTTGACGTGCGCCTTTTCTTTCTGGAATTTTCAGAGTGAACAAATTACTCACACTATTTATACTACAAAATGGTATAGAATAGTGCATAAGTATATGCACTGGGATGCACCGTAAGTTTTTGCTAATTTTTAGTTCTCAATAATCAGCTACCAGAGGGTTGGATGCATGTTTGTTTGCTAAATTCTGTCACTTCACAAAGCTGTTTGTTTATTTAGTTTGGACATTTGATTATCCATGTTGCTGTTAATTAAAAGTCTAATAAGGTGATCTGGTCATCTTCAAAAAAAAAAAAAAAGATTTGCAATACATGTAGAAAAAAATGATGTTAGCTCATACATCAAACTCACAAAAATAAATAATTGGATTTTTGCATAAATTTTCATTTAAGTATATGTTACATCAGGGGTCACCAAACTCGGTCCTGGAGGGCCGGTGTCCTGCAGAGCAAGATTGGACACCCGTGTTACATATATAAAGTACATTACAAGAAAAGAAATGACAATTAAAGTGTATTAAAGATTATACATGCAGTACTTGGACACACGCTTTGCTTGTGTCTTGGGCATCTTGAGGTAAAGAAAAAAAATTCTCAAAATAGGACAAAGACCTTATTATTGTTAGTTTAAAAACAGTTAATTTTAACTTGTACAGCTAATGGAGCATTTACACATATGAATGCTTTTGCAGACATCCCATCCCAGCTTGCTAGGTAAACTTCACCACAAACTTGCATGTTATCCCATTTCTACCCCTTAGCCCTTCCCCTTTCCCCTACCCCTCCGTTTGGCGCGTTCACGTGAAGGGGTAGGGGTGCCTCGATTCTCTTTTGGTTGGAGGAGTAGGGGTAAGGAGAAGGGCCAGATAGCCCTTCAAACAAAGATTTTTCAGGACCACACTTCAAACGAAGGGGTATGAATTTTCTCAGCGTGAACCGGCTACAGTGGCAACATGGCTGTCCGAGTGAACAAAAAGACACATAAATGCACATTTTTGGCATTAATAAAGATTTTAATGAAAAGTAATCATTTGTTTTATGTTACATTCAATCGTGAGTTCATATTTACGGTCACGATATTCAAATAAATGTTTGCCAAAAATCGCTAAAGTTTGCTAACGTCATATCATTACAGACCACACGATAGTGCCACAACATATATGTTCATGTCTGATCAGGGGGATAACCACCATAGACACTGAGGGGGGCTTTCCCCCCAATAATTAGAAATCGCTAAACCCTTTTCTCAAATATTGCCAAATCGAGAGAGAGAGAGAGAGACAGAATCATCATCAGAGAGAGTCATGATCTGCATGAGCTCTTAGAATTTACTTTTTGTTCACTATTTTGAGATGAGTTAGATAAAAAATTGTATATATCTCAAGGAATACCAAATTCTGAACTGGACTTTCACAAAAGGAAATCAGAAAAATTTATTTTTGTTTTTTAAAACCAAATATTCAGTGCAGAGGATCAGTTTCTAGCAGCACAGCAGCACAGACCCACAGGAAAATCGGAGTGAAACTCAAAAACAGGACAATCCTTCGAGATAAACCTCAACAGTTCAGAGAGGGAGAAGCAGTGAGTACAACTAACTGCAGTGGACAATATTTATTCTCAAATACAAGCACATACAATTTAAAATTGACCTTTTTATAGTTTTTTATAAACTAAAACTGCTAGAAATGCTAAAAGCTAAAGCTATGGCTACCCTGCACTCTGACATTCCTCAATGTATCAATTCAAATGAGCCAGAGAACATTAACCAATCAGAGGAGAAGATGCAGTCACCCCACTGCCATATGCAAATGAGCTCCCCACTCTGCACAGACTGTGTGTCCCTTTGTCGTCACAGTACCCCTTTGACGTCACAACTGACTCTGCAAGGAAAAACTATAAGCAGAAACTTCTTAAAGACAACCCAGAAACTCTTTTTGCCGATTCGTTTAAAACTGGAGAATTCAGCAATCTCATTTTCTTCACTGATCATCCCAACATCTGGCATAAAGCCATCATCAACCATTACCCCTCTGTAAAGAAAGAGGGCATCTGTAATTGCTGGAAAGTCAAAATCAGAGAACCATGTGACCCCGACACCACAGTGATAACTGTGAACTTATATAAAAATGGCACAGTCATGATACAGGGAAATCTGAAAACATTCCAGACCGACTACAGCGCAATAATGAAACAAGAGAAAGCCCTATTATCTGAATATCTATCATCTGAGCAGAATACACAGAGCAGTAGCCCAGATCTCAAGCCCACCGCTGCAGAGAGCCCTGCCCAGGACCCCTTATCCCCCCTGCTCAAATCTATACCTGTACTCCAGGAGCACTTCACAAGGCTGGAGATGGAGATGGTGCAGCTCAGAGAAACCGTACTCAAACAGGAGCATCACACTGAACTCCAGCAAAACTCAGAGCACATCACACAGAGACTGTCAGCCCTCACACAGCAAGTCAAAGGTTTACAGACAGAGAAGGACAGCTGTCAGAAAGAGCTGGCCACACTGAGACTCCAGCTACAGGACAGAGAGCATCTCACACTAGAGATGAGGCAGCAGCTTAGAGAGTTACAGGAGGAGAGAGAGCAGCAGCACAGTGAGATCCAGGCCCTGAAAGAGCAGGTGAGAGAGCTGCTCCTGACCAGACAAGAACCAGAGCAGATCCACAGAGCTCAAACACTGGCCTCCACCCCAGAGCCACCTGCCACAGTCAGCCAGCACCCAGAGAGACCCGACCCAGACCGCTCACAGTCATCTCAGCGCCTCGTGTCAAGTGCCCCAGCACAACACCAACAGCACCCATCTGACAGCACAGCACCAACCAGCTCAGAACAGCCAGAAATAGCCCTGCTCATTGATTCAAATGGGAAATTCATCGACATAAAGAAACTCTTCCCCCGACACAGAGCTCTTAAACACTGGTGTCCCAACACTGACAAAGCCCTGGAGCTTCTGACAGAATCTCAGCTGGGCCATCCCAGCCACATCATCATCCACACGGGCACCAATGATCTGCGAAGCCAACAGGACAGAGTGTCCGATTCCCTCAGAGCTGTTGTGGAAAAAGCAAGACACACTTTCCCCAACTCAAAAATCATCCTCTCCACTCTGCTTCAGAGAAAAGACTTCCATCTCAACACAATCAGTAAGATTAATGCCAACATCTCCATCCCAACACAATCAGTAAGATAAATGCCAACATCTCCAGACATTGTGCCCTTGTGCCTAATGTTTACTTGGCACACCACCCAGACCTGGACACCGACTTTCTGTACGATCATGTCCACCTATATAAAAATCTGGTACATATCCTGGCAAAGAGACTTAAAGACGTCACTCTAAACAGGACCAACCAGACAAGCCCCAGGTGGAGCAGAACCAGCCCTAACCCAGCCACACCAGCGAGACACACCTCAAGAGACAGCATCCCACCCAGCACTTCATCTAGAGCCCCATCCAGAGCTTCAGCGCCCAGAGAGGAGCCACACAGACAGACTCTACAAAAGCCCCACAGTAAACCCGGCCAGCGCTGAGCTTCACAACATCCAACACATTCTGAGTATCATCTGCTCTCACCTACTGACACACAGTGGACAGAGATGAGAACTTAAAAAAAATAATAATAATACATAAAAAAATAAAATAAATTAAAAATTAAAAATTCCTAATTTAATTAGTTCATATTCTGAGTTAATACCATAACATTTCTCACATGTATTTACTGTTGCATCCAATCTGTTTTGTTTTTGCTCTTTTTATGTCTTTCTCTTTTTCTCAAAATAGCAAACAAACTCTATAGATTATCTTTCTTTTTGTGATGAAATCACTTAGCATCTCCTTGTGGAATATTCAAGGTCTGAACTCCTCAGTATTTGGCCTGAAGAGTAAAAATCCAGACTTTATGAGAGAAATTCATGACTTAGATGTCATAATTTTACAAGAAACCTGGTGTAGAGGGGATGAGTCCACTGGCTGTCCCTCAGGATACAGAGAAACTATATTATCTTCAGTCAAACTCAGATCCAGCACACAGGGAAGAGACTCGGGAGCGATGATAATCTGGACTAAATCTGAACTGTCCATAGAATTAGTCAAAAGAGACCAGTACCACCTGTGGTTGAAAATTAAAAAAGGTTTCATAACAACATCTCAGCCCGTCTTCCTCTGTGCCATATACATACCACCCCTAGAGTCTCCCTATTTCCAAGAAGAAACCTTTCAAAACTTAGAGCAAGAAATCAGCCATTTCCAGGCCCAGGGAAATGTGCTGCTTATGGGTGACTTGAATTCTAGAACCGGTGACAAATTAGATTTCATAGAATCACAAGGCACCAGATTCATTACTGCCGATAACAGTTTTTTCCCTTCTCACCCTCCCAGACAGGACTGTGATCAGGCAGTGAACTCTCACGGAAGGCAGCTGCAGCAGCTCTGTCAGAATCTGGCTCTGTACATCGTCAAAGAGGAGAGGAGACTCACTCAGTCGCTTCACCTACAGCTCAGCTCTTGGTAGCAGCACTGTAGATTATACAATCACAGATCTAGATCGTTCCTCTTTGAGAGCATTCACAGTCAAACCATTGCAACCTTTCTCAGACCACAGTCAAATCACCCTCTATATAAAGCAGTCTGAAACATTATCCAAACCAATTAGGACACCATATCAAATGCACAAAATTATGTCATTCAAATGGACAGAAAACAGTCCCACTAATTACATCAACGCTACTGAATCTTCAGAAATACAGTCCCTCTTACATTCTTTCCAGATACAGGAATACCCTAAAAATCAATTTGGCATCAATCAAGCAGTGAAAGATATAAATGACATATTCTATAAGACAGCACAAAGAAGTGATATGACAATTATAAAACCAAAGAAAAAGAAATTGGACACTGACAGATCGTTTGATTCAGACTGTAAGGCTCTGAGAAAAAACCTCCGAAATTTATCCAACCAAAAACACCGTCAACCAGCAAAACCAGGACCTCCGTCTTCATTACTGCGAGGCACTAAGGCAATACAAAGCCACACTCCACCGGAAAAAAAGCTCAGTTTCTGCAAGACCAGTTTGAAGAGATCGAAAAATCAATAAATTCCAACAAATTCTGGGATAAATGGAAATTATTAAACAAATCAAATCAAGAAGATCTGGCTATCCAAGATGGAGAGATATGGAAGAATCATTTCCAAGAATTATATAGCTCAACTGAAATTCAAAACTCTGATCAAAATGAAATAATTACAAAACTAGACATTTTTGAAAAATCAATAAAAGCATATCAAAACCCCTTAGATTTCCCCATAACACTGAAAGAATTGGAAGATAAATTATGGGTCCTCGAGCCCAAGAAAGCCTGCGGTGTTGACGGCATCCTGAACGAGATGCTGAAACACACAGAACAAAGCTTCAAACTGGCCATCCTCAAACTCTTCAATGATGTTCTGTGTGTAGGGTTCTTCCCTAAGATCTGGAACCAGGGCCTCATCAGCCCCATTCACAAGAACGGAGACAAACTGGAGCCCAACAGCTACCAAGGCATCTGTGTGAACAGTAACCTGGGGAAGGTTTTCTGCAGCATCTTACACACAAGACTGTCAGACTTCCTTATCAAACACAATGCCTTGAGTAAATGTCAAATTGGATTCCTCCCAAAATGTCAAACGTCTGATCACATTTTTAAACTACAAACACTAATTGATAAATATGTACATCAAAACAAAAGTCAAATTTTCGCCTGTTTTATTGATTTCAAGAAAGCATTCGACTCAATCTGGTATGAAGGATTATTCCTAAAACTTATAGACAGCGGAATAGGAGGTAAATTCTATGATTTGATCAAATCCATGTACACAATCAGTCAATGTGCAGTTAAAATTGGAAACAAAAGAACTGAATTTTTTCTTCAGAGGCGTGGAGTGCGACAGGGCTGCAGTTTAAGCCCCACCCTCTTCAACATCTACATCAATCAATTGGCCAATGCTTTAGAACATGCTCCCATTCAAGGTCTCACTCTCCATGACACAGAGATAAAGTGTCTTCTTTATGCAGACGACCTGGTTCTCCTGTCGCCCACTAAAGAAGGGCTTCAGGACAGCCTGAATCTGCTGGAGGATTACTGTCAGACCTGGGCCCTGACAGTCAACCTCCAAAAAACTAAAGTCATGATCTTCCAGAAACGCTCCAGATCTCAGGGACTAACACACACATTCACACTATCACACAGAACCATTGAAACCACAAAGACATACACTTACCTCGGCCTAAAAATTACTCCAACAGGTAACTTTACTTTGGCTGTGAATGAGCTCAAAGAGAAAGCTCAAAGGGCTTTCTATGCCATAAAAAGATCAATTAAAATTGACATCCCAATCCAAATCTGGCTCAAACTTTTCAAATCAGTAATTGAACCAATTGTATTATATGGCAGTGAAGTCTGGGGTCCACCTATAAAATTAGATTTTTTAAACTGGGAAAAACATCCAATTGAAAAAATGCATTTAGATTTCTGTAAAAGAATACTCAAAGTCCAAAGAAAAACACCAAATAACGGATGCAGGGCAGAATTAGGCCAATACCCTCTCCTTCTAAACATCCAAAAAAGAGCCATCAAATTCTGGAAACACCTAAAGACAAGCGACCCCAGCACATACCATTATAAAGCCCTGAAACACCAAGAGCTGAGCCTCACGAAGAGTCCCCTCCTTCAGCTGGTGCTGAGACTGACAGAGATCAGCCAGCCTCAGAACTCACACTCACTCTCAACCATTCGGCCCACACAGATCATCAACACAGAGAAACACAAGTACATCACCCATTGGACAAACACCATTAAAAACCA